GGTCTTCGGCGTCTTCCGATAGGGTCCGGGGCGCGGCACCTTCCGGGGCTTCCGCAGTCGTTCCCGTGATGGTCACGGCGGGGAGCTCGATGGCATTCCTCGCCTCCTCCAGCTCAGCCTGGACTTTACGCAGGGTGGCGCGGTCCAGAGCATTCGCCTTCTCCAACTCCTCCAGAAGGCGTCTGCTCTCCTGCGTCTCCCGCCTCAGCTCCTCTCTTTCAGCCTTGAGCTGCGCAATTTCCTCAGCCAGAGTGGCAGAGGAATGGGCCGTTTTGCGGAGCGCGTTAATTTCGCGCTTATCCGCCTTTGCCTCCTCGATTGACGCATTGGCCATCAGCCTAGCGTGGGCCAGGTCGTTTCGCAGGCGGGTGTTCTCTCTGTTGAGAGTCGCCACTTCAGCATTAGCCGACCTCTCCTTCAGGGCCTCGGACGCCGTCAGGATGTTAGCGATGGCGTCCTTTATGTCCCTGATGATGGTGCCCTTAAGGTTGCCGGAAACTTTCACCGCGGCAAGAACCTTGAGGGCACTGTCCGCAATAGTGGCGCCCAGCTCATCAGCGCGCTTCACGTCCGTGCCCAATAATCGGGAAGCAGCCGCCGGTGCGGAGACGGATCTGGAGGGACCGGCCTCGGACGCCGAACCCTCTGTCTCCATTCGGGCGGCTGGCGCCCCCTTTCCTCTTTGTTTTGGGCTCGCGCCCTTTTTTGCCCTTGTTGTGGGCACCTCGATGACATCGACGTCGTCGTCGGAGTCCAGATCTTGCGGCCTCTCGACGACGCGCCTTTTACGCCTGTACCTCTTGGGCGACGTGCTCACCCTGAGGCTATGGCCGTCTTCGGATGTGACCGACTGCGAATTGAGGCAGTCCTCCGACGCGGCCGACATTGCGGACCCCGTGCACTCGGAGTCCATGCCGGCCACAGAAAAAGGATTTCGAACCCAAAGAAGAAGAACCAACCGGACCAAAAGAAGAAGTACAAAACAAAAGAAAAACAATTCCCTGCACGGCCTCAACACACCTCAACACATCGGGGCTCCTCCCACTCGTTCCTGCCTACGACTGTCCGCGTCCCCCCCAGAGTACTTGGGACGGCCCACCCCCGGCAAACCCGGTGCGGTGGGGAACTCCTAACCGGCCGCGGAGCGACCGGTACCTCCCTGGGGTATATCCTTTTTACGTGCAGCCATATTCATGTTTTTCCTTTTTACGGGTGTGGTCCCGATCTCCCGCCAACGACGAAACCGAAATAGAAAATGAAACCAAAAAGACAGAGAAGACAAACAGATAGAGAAAGACAGATAAAAACCAAAGACAAACTAAAACCCGAATAAATTAAAACAAAACGAAAAGAAGAAAAAACCCAAACAAAACAAAGAAGAAGGAACAAACAAAAAGAAGACTAAAAAGAAAGTTGGGCGGGTTCCTGACTCCGGGATCCTCGACTTTTGTCGAGGCATAGGAATCCGCAACCCGCCCAACCTGCCGGGCTACTGGCCGACATAGTAGCCGTATCCCGAAGGAACGACTACTATCCCGCCCGGGGCGTACCAGAACCAAACCATTGCTCGGCCACCGTTCCCCGCGGACGTATCCACGAGGATGGGGAAGCCTCCCAATGGCAGGCCCATACTAGGAGGTTAACCCCGACCTAACCTAACCGCCTAACCTAACCTAACCTAACCTAACCTAACCTAACCTAACCTAACCTAACCTAACCTAACCTAACCTAACCTAACCTAACCTAACCTAACCTAACCTAACCTAACCTAACCTAACCTAACCTAACCTAACCTAACCTAACCTAACCTAACCTAACCTAACCTAACCTAACCTAACCTAACCTAACCTAACCTAACCTAACCTAACCTAACCTAACCTAACCTAACCTAACCTAACCTAACCTAACCTAACCTAACCTAACCTAACCTAACCTAACCTAACCTAACCTAACCTAACCTAACCTAACCGGAGGTTTTATTTGCCCGTGCAGCTGTTATACCAATCCATGAAAATGAAACGTTACCGTGTTCTAGAGTTTCCTGTGAAGTTTCCTGTGGCGCCATCTAGCGTGGAGTGGCGTATCTCTTTCCAGGACCATGTGGCGCCATCTAGCGTGCGTTGGCTTGACTGTGTGTAATAATAGTTCCGGAAATTAAATTGAATCAAATTCGGCGTCGTTACTCATTTGTAGATGTTTAAGGATGGTGGTTGTTTTGGTTTGCAGTCTTTACTTATTAGTACGTTTTGACATTCTTATTCTTGTTATTATTATTACGAATCAGAAGGACGGATTCGGTAAGAGGATTAATTATGTAACGGTGATCGCGATGGTTTAAAGTTTAAAGTATGTGTCGATGTATGTACACGTCTATGTAAAGTGCGTTGTCAGCTTTATGAAGGAATATTCTCTTTTATTGAGGGTTTCAACATTGTGATACTCTTAATCGTTTGATTTCAGAAGACTCAGATGTTGCTCCTCTTATCCGACGACAGAGACAGCTTACAAAGCAGGTACACACGACGACTGCATACGAAGTCAACCTCGGGGGTGGTGTCTTAGGCTTCGTACGTGGTATATTGTGTTTATTGACTGCCCGCTGCCATGTTTCCTGCGGCCCGCCATCAGCATAGGCCCACTCTCGATAACGACAATAATTAATACCAAATCTCAGTTAATAGGTTTTTTTTTTTTTTTAGACATAATCTAAATTATAGCAACTAGTGTTTACCGCTCAATGCAATATTTGAACTTTGCTAGTTATCGACACTGATGTGAAGGGGTCAACGTAAATTGGTAAAATTTCTACGTTTTCATACAATATTACTATTTGTCCAGTACAAGATAAGCTATTTTTTTTTTTTTTTTTTTTCAATTAAAGCGAAAAATTATAGTAAAATGATAACAATTTACCAGTTTCAGATTTTTTTTTTTTTTATATTCACCTAATTACTTATCTGCATACCAAATTTGAACTGCCTAGCTCATCTGGAAGTGGGTTATAATTTATAGTTGATCAGTGATAAATAACCGTTTGAGATATGTTTATGAAATTTGGAACACATATTTATGTCGCAAGTCTCAATATATGAACCAAATTTGACAGGTTTATGTGAAAGAGTTTTTGAGTTATGAGGGGGTCAAAAGTGGCTCCAAATGGTTCGTGTAAATATACACACGGTGCTGCAGGCCAGTTGTCTTACTTGAAACTCGGCTTGACACGCTGCCGCGTGTCTAGATATTAATAGATGTTTATTGCGTTGCCGGTTGCAGGCGCGCGAGCCGTTGCAACACAAGAAGCGCGGCAGAATAGTGTTAATTCGTTGAAAATACGCGAGAGACGTTGCAGTCGCGCTCGCTCGCACCTACGTTCGCTATAATGCACGTTTATTTAAATTTAAATTAAATTACAATACAATACACATTCATCCATCCTTTGTTTACATTATTATTATTGCGATGTTTACGTGCGGGCCACACTGTACAATAAATATATAAAACAAAGTCGCCGCCGCTCTCTGTCTTTGTAAAGCTGTAATCTTTTAACTACGCAACGGATTTTAATTCTATTTTTAGCAGTAGGTAGAGTGGTACAGTTTATATGTATAGTACATGTACACCCGTGCTACGACGGGGCGGGTGACTAGTCTATTATAATTCGATGATGGTGTTTCTATATGAAAGGATTTTGGAAAAGAAAAGATCATGATATTATTATTATTATTATTAACATTTATTCAGTACAAAATATATACAAAACGTTTATAAATCTATATATTTATTTATTGTTTTAACATTACAATAACATTGTTGCAGTGGATGACTTGTTGATTGTTACTATCAAAGTTTAATGTTATTTTAAACTCTATTATTATTACAATTTGTGTTCGTTTTGCACTAACATTTAACTATACACATTGGTCGTAAACGACGATAACATAAGTTCATTGAACCCCTGTACACGGTTATAGAATATTAAACTTAATGAACAACAAAGCAAAATGTCAGATTGACTAGACCGCGCACCGGGAAGCTGCCGCACTACGACCACGACCGACGTCAAAAAAAAAAAAAAAATTAAATGTCACAAAATTGGTCATGTAGTTCAGACACTTTGTCGCAGCCGTTTTAACAATAGATACACAATATATAAATATCACAAGGTGTTATATATGTAACAGTTTCAACGCGCGCTCTATAAACTCCGTTTTAAGTACATTACATAGCACCGACAGTTGTACAGACAGGCTGCACCCACAGTACATATGTATAACCGGTATTATGTAATAATATCTTCAGGACAACTCACACAGCGCCATCTACTATACCATACTTAAAAAGAGTACTTTACTTGACACATCACAAGAGTCTGTAAGAGACCTACATGAATAAAGATATTAATCAAGCTGAACTACTGTCACCACACTGAACTAGCTTTACTCGGTGGCACTAGATGGCGCTGTTGAAAGTAATAAAAGTAATGATCACTACGATGAATCATACAAACACACAATTAATAAACATGACATCGGTGCACACGAGATTCTTTTGATTGTAACACATACGAGTACATAGTTACATAGTTTAAAATATCAATATCCGTACCTTACGAGTCAATTCCTATTCATATATAACATAGTTACATTGGAGCGTCCGTCTGTACAAAATGTAAAAAAAAAAAAAACTATTTACTTATGAAATGCATATAAATGTAATTATAATTGTACAAAAAAAAAAATGTTTCATTTTATATTGTATATTGTTAAGGAACTATATATTTCCTTAACAGTCACTCAGGACACCAACAACAATTATATATGTATATATATCAACATGTGCATACATAAATAGCATGTATATAGTATAGGTACATTTAACATTCGTAAATTTATATAAGAAAAAAAAAAAAAAAAGAAACAAATTATTACTATGGCTCAAGTGTGCAAGTAAAAATAAAAAATGTACCCTATCTCAAAGACATAAGGTTGAAAAAAAAAAAAAAACTATTAAATATAGTAAAGTCTTGGCTCATACAAAGTTATATCGATATGTATTTAAAGCATAACAATGAAACCTAAACACAGCTACAACATCCACTGACTCGTTCTAATATATGACTTAAAATGTATAAATAAAGTCTACATTGCTTTAACATTTGTACTACCCGAACCTCCGCGTCTACTCCACGCTCACCTCGTGAAGTCGTGAGTAAAATCGAGTGACACGGGAATCGGCATCTAATAACATCCGCATAGAGTTCAAGTTACGATCACAAGCAGGGCGGTGTGACCGTCACGTTCTCGGTCTGGTTGTCGTTGACGAGCTTGCCCTCGCTGTTGATCCTCGCGTTCAGTCCTCCCCGGGTGATCTTCTCTCCGACGAGTCTGGCTCGCTTCGCCGCCTTCTCGTCCACCCTCCTCCCGGCCAGGGCGTAGTTCATCTTCTCCCAGAACCAGGGGTCGCCCCACTTGACGTAGGTGTTGGTGTCGAGGTAGGCGCGCAGCTCGGCGTCGAGCCGGTCCGCGGGCGGCGCGTCCTCCAGCAGCACCACCACCACCCTGGAGCGCTTCTCCTTCTGCGCGCTCTGGTGCGCCACCCGGAACTCCATCTTGCCCCACACCGAGTCCACGAAGTGCTCGGACAGCACCACGATCGTGCGGCGCGACTTCTCCACGGAGCTGGCGATCTGCGCCGGGATCCACTCGCCCACCACCCAGTCCCGGTAGTGCAGACACAGCCGCAGGGGGCGCGGGCCGCCCTCCAGCGCGGGCACCAGGCGCTCGGCCACGAACCGCGCGTCCTTGTGGGAGAACGAGACGAACGCGTCGTACTCCTTGTCGCGGTCGGCGTCCTCCTCGCGCAGCATCCAGCGCAGCCAGCCGCGCGAGTACGCGAGCACCTTGAGCCGGTCCGCGTACCGGCAGGCGGCGGCGGCGGCCAGCGCCAGCGCCGCGCCCAGCGCCGCCAGCGCGCCGCCCAGCGCCGCCGCGCGCCGCACCGCGCACGCGCGCCGCGCGTCCGCCGCCCACGGGGACTCCCCGCCGCCGCCGCCGCACCGCACGCGCGCCGCGTCCGCCACGCTCGCCGCCGCCGCCTGCAGCGCGGCCAGCTCGGCCGCGTGCTCGCAGTCGCAGCCGAGCGGGTTGTCGGCCAGCCGCAGCGTGGTGTCGGCCCGCAGCAGGTCCGGCGGCACGCTCGCGAGCAGGTTGCGGGACAGGTCCAGCTCCCTCACGGTGGAGGGCACCGGGGGCGCGCGCGTCAGGCCGGCGCCGCTGAGGTTCAAGGCGGTGACGTGGTGCGGCAGGGCGGACAGGGCGGACAGGTCGGGCGGCGGCCGCAGCAGTCGCAGCCGCGTGCTCGCCATCCCGTACGAGGCGGGGTCCGGCAGCTCGGGCAGCGCGAGGCAGCTCAACTCCAGCGAGCTCGCGGCCGGTCGCAAGTCGCAGGAGCAGTCGTCGGGACAGTGGTCCGACGGCAGCTCGCAAGTGAGCACGTCCGGCTGCAGCGCGGCTATGGAGCGACCCTCGAGGGCGCCGGGGGCGGCGCAGCGAGCGTCGTCAGGTACGAACGTAGGTTCCGCCGTGACCGCTGCGGAGAGACCTCGCAGACGTCTGATGAAGGAGTACATGTTGCAGTCGCAATTGAACGGGTTGTCGTCGAGCAGCACTTTGGACTCGGTGACGGAGGTGGTGGTAGCCGCGAGGTAAGAGGGCATGTCCATCACCTCCACGGTAGTGATGTTGTTGTGACGGAGGTCTATGACCACCTCGGAGCCCAGGAACTGAATGTCAGCACCCTGAAATAGAACACAAATTGAAAATAACTACAATGAAATCCGCATGATTTCAAAGTGATTTTCTTTGTTTTATTTCTCCTGAACTGTACTGTATGGACATAGACTATTTGCCTTTGCTATAGCAAATAGTCTATGCCCATACAGTCGTTGTCTTTGGCATCTTTTCTGTTTCAATTCAAGTTGACTATTGTCACAAATTTTACGTAAATGGTATTTTTTTTTACGTAACTAGAATGTCAGGCAGGCATCAGAATAAGACAGCAAGTACTGGCAGGAGTGCTCCAGGGATCTGTTTTGGGGCCAGTATTGTATACTATCTACACATCAGAGCTACCACAATCGGAAGGTCTCATCATCATCATCATCATCGCAGCCCGAAAGACGTCCACTGCTGGACATAGGTCTCCCCCAAAGATCTCCACGACGATCGGTCCTGCGCTGCTCGTATCCAAAGCCTTCCAGCGATCTTGACCAGATCGTCGGTCCACCTTGCTGGAGGCCTTCCCACGCTGCGTCTTCCGGATCGTGGTCGCCACTCGAGGACTTTACTGCCCCAACGGCCATCTGTCCTACGAACTATGTGCCCTGCCCATTGCCACTTCAGAGTCGCAATTCTTCGGGCTATGTCGGTCACTTTGGTTCTTCTGCGGATCTCCTCATTTCTGATTCGATCACGCAGAGTAACTCCAAGCATAGCCCTCTCCATAGCCCTCTGAGTGACTCTGAGCTTGTTGATGGAGCCCATAGTTAGCGACCACGTCTCTGTTCCGTAAGTCATCACTGGCAACACACATTGGTCGTAAACTTTCGTCTTGAGACACTGCGGAAATTTGGACGAAAAGATATATCGGAGCTTCCCGAACGCTGCCCATCCGAGTTGGATTCAACGATTGACCTCTTTCTCGAAATTGGATCTACCTAACTGGATAGTTTGCCCTAAGTATACGTAGTGATCGACAATTTCGAGTGCAGAATCTCCGATTTTTACGGGAGCAGGTACGACATGGACGTTTGACATAATTTTTGTCTTGTTCATGTTCATTTTAAGACCCACTCCTTGTGAGACTCTACTGAGGTTTTCGAGCATTTTGCTAAGGTCTTCCAGGGTCTCAGCCATGACCACGACATCGTCGGCAAATCGAAGGTGATTGATGTATTCGCCGTTAATGTTGATGCCAAGCCCGCTCCAGTCCAGAAGCTTGAAAACATCTTCCAACGCAGCAGTAAACAGCTTCGGCGATATGACATCGCCTTGTCTGACACCTCGCTGCAGTTGGATAGGCTTCGAATTCTGGTCGTGGAGGCGAACTGACATAGTGGCGTTTTCATACAAACATTTCAACGCTTCGATATATCGATAGTCAATTTGGCACCGCTGGAGAGACTGTAGCACAGCCCACGTCTCGATCGAATCAAAGGCTTTTTCATAATCCACAAACGCCAAGCAAAGTGGCATGTTGTATTCTTCGGTCTTCTGAATTACCTGCCGCAGCGTATGAATGTGGTCTATGGTACTGAAGCCTTTTCGGAACCCGGCTTGTTCGGGAGGCTGGAAGTCGTCAAACCTGCGCGCGAGACGATTGGTGATGACTCTCGAAAACAACTTATAAACATGGCTCAGCAGTGTTACGGGTCTGAAATTCTTCAGAACCGATTTGTCTCCCTTCTTGAAGAACAGAACCACCACACCCCTTTGCCATGCTTGAGGCGTTCTGCCCTCGAGGATGACGGAGTTGAATAGCTTCTGGAGGATACGTAAAATAGGTCTACCTCCAGCCCTCAGAAGCTCAGCAGTAACTCCATCATCGCCCGGCGCCTTGTTGTTTTTAAGTTGTTTAAGAGTTGGTATGGCTCTCGTACAGGCTGACGTCCGGGATATCTTCGGTATAGTGTCGGGTTAATTTGGCTCTAGGGTCTTTCGCCGTGTTGTTAACAGGTGCCCGTGTTGTCGTGTATAACTGTCCATAGAACTTCTCAATTTCCCTCAAAAGTTCGGGTTTAGACGAAACGATCCTGCCGTCATCCGTCTTAAGTCGCGTCAGCTGGCTCTGTCCGGCAGCCAGATCCCTGTTAAAGACTTTTGAGCCCTTGTTTCTCTCAATAGCCTCCTTTACACAATATGTGTTAAAGAGGCGTAAGTCACGAGTCAAGGACTTAGAGATCTGCCTGCTAAGTTGCCGATACTGGGAAGCGTCAGTCGGAGACTGCAGGACCATACTTCGCCTTTCATCCATCAGTTTGAGGGTAGAGATAGATATTTTTTCGGTTCTTTCTGCGCGGCGGGTTTTGAAGTGCTTGGACCCAGCCGCACGAACAGTTTCTACGAACCTGTTGTTGTAATCGTCCACGTCAACGCAGTCACCAAGGCATTCGAAACGGTTTTGCAATTGTAGCTGAAAGCTTTCGGGGTTTTGGATCTGTATAGGTGTAGGGCGGAGCGTAGATTTCATCAGTCGGGATCGTTCGAGTTTCAGATTCAGATTCAATGTGCCTCTTAAAATCCGGTGATCACTTCCAATTTTGACGGCTTTGATCACAGAGACATAATTGAAAATCTGTCTTCTCGTTGACAAGATGAAATCTATCTCGTTTTTGGTGGCACCATCGGGAGTAATCCACGTCCATTTCCGGTGTTCCGGCTTCCTGAAGAAGGAGTTCATCATAAAGAGGCTCTCCTTCTCCATGAAGTCGGCCAGCATTTGACCTCGGAAGTTCCGATCACCGATACCAAATTGCCCCACTCTCAGCTCATCACCGCTTCGTTTGCCCAATTTTGCGTTAAAGTCCCCCATGATAACGTTATAATGAGTTCTTGTGCTATGTATGGCTCTGGAGATATCCTCATACATAGCCTCAACCTCATCGTCGGAGTGCGTCGAAGTTGGAGCGTACACTTGGATGACCTTCAACGAATACCGTTTGGTAATTCTGAGTATCAGGTACGCTACCCTAGTCGACACGCTCTCGACCTTGATAACATTATTCACAAGGGACTTGTGGACGAGGAACCCGACACCGTCTTGGGACAGTTGATCGCCCTCCCGGAAGTAAAGTAGATTGCCGGATTTCAGGATTATCGAGTCCTCCCCCTTTCTTCGGACTTCAGATAATCCCACGACATGCCAGTGCAATCTGCTCAACTCTTCCTCCAGTTCAGTTAACTTTTCGTCGGTCCGCAGTGTTTGAACGTTGTATGTTGCCAGGGCCAGTGGTCGTCGTTTGTGGTAGCCTGGTCTTACCCGGAGATTCTTCGCACCCCCTGCCCCGCCGTTTCCATGACCGCTACCATGGTCAAGACTAGCGGGGCCGCCGGGGACTGGGGGCCGGGGCCTTGGGTGTAAATCCATTTGGGGGGATATGCCATAATCGCCACGCTTGGCATGCGGGTTGGCGATCGCAGTATGATGGTAGGTACTCAGTAGGACGCTGCTGCCCGTCCACTGGTCGATGAATCCCTTAGTCGCCTTTTACGACACCCACGGGTAGAGAGGGGTGGTGCTATTCTTACAGCGACACCACACACGTAAGGAAAATCGGAAGGTCTAACCATAGCTAAATATTCTGGCGACATTGCAGTTCTAGATTGCAATACGTGTCCCAACCAAACCTCACGAGCTTTACAAAATGACCTTAATGTCACTGCCCAGTGGCTAAAAAAAAAAAAATGGAAGATGGCCAGCGTATCCAAGTAGCTTCAAATGACATTCAGTTTGCGACCAGTAATCTGCCCCCAACAGTAACCCTGGATAGCAAAACTCTCCCTTAAAGTGTTAAGGGAGAGTTTTTCTATCCAGGGTTACTGTTGGGCAGGCAGATACAACTGTCTTTGGAATACACGTCGACCGCCGGCTGATTCAGAGCACATTCAGACAAAAATAGACCAAATACAAGGGGCCATATTGGTTGCTAGGGCTTGTTGAACTTCTCCTCTACAACTTTGTAAACAATTTGGACCCATGGCATACAATTATGGTGTTCTACTGCAAACACCAACATGAGCACAACACAAAGGGATCAAAATAATATGTTGTAACAGCTCGTAAATGCGGCATGGATTGCCTCGTGAGTATCGCAATACAAACACAGCAGCCGAAGATAAAACATTGCTGCTTCAAATACAAGACACGGCTAGGAAACCATCCCAATGTGGCTGTGCTGGCCAACCATCAGTTGGTTGGCCAGCACATTGGGACAAAAGCAGTCCTCTAAGAAAGGATTTTGATAAAATCCACCCCTAAGGGGATAAATTAACGCGAGCGAAGCCGCGGGTAAAAGCTAGTTTTTTTTTTTTTTTAAAAGTCTAGCAAGAACTTTAATTCGTCGTCACAGAACGACTTTGTAAATTAATTGTCATAGGGACCCCCGTCTCCTAATGTGTCCAGGGTCTCTAATAGGTGAAAGTCGGTTGTGGATCACGACACAAATGAAACTCACGGTCAGTTCTCGGATGCGGTTCCAGGCCAAGTTCAGCTTCTTCAGATTGAGCAGCACGAACCTCCAGTCGCTGAATATGATCGAGATGGCGTTCCTGCTCAGATCCAGTTCCTTCAACTGCAGCAGCGAACTGAACGGCGACTGCTGCTCGAACTCCTCGTAGGTGGAGACGTTGTGGCCGGGTTCCAGCCCCGGGGGTCGCAGGGTGAGCGAGTTGTTGGCGAGGTGCACGGCCTCCAGGGCGATGGCGTCTATGAACGCGTCGGGGGCTATCTGTGTCAGTCTGTTGCTCGTCATTCTGATTGATTTCAGTCGCGTCAGTCCCGAGAACAGTTGTCTGAAATCATTATTTATTTTATTATTTTATATACACACTAGTTCTTGAGGTATATATAATATAGACCTTACTAACTAATATTATATATTAATATAAATGCGTCTGTTTGTCTCGCTTTCAGGCCAAACCTACTGAACCGATTTCAATTAAATTTAGAGCACAGATAGTCTAAACCCTAAGAAAGGACATAGACTACTTTATAAAGCGAAATAAGGGCTGTAAGGGGTTGAAAGGGGAGATGAAGGGTTGAATGGGAGAATCGTCGTTTTGAATTAGGTTATTAAGTTGGCTGAAGTAAAATAAATTGATTGATTCATTCATAATTTAAGAGCCACGCTCACGTCGGTGGAACTTTTGTCGATCTTGTATCGTGCCCTTTATATGGTGATACGTAAATATATAAAAAGAGACAATGGCAATGGATTTCCTAAACAACACGAAACATTGTCAGTTGTTATTGTTTTAATGTATTTTTTTTTTTGTAATTATTAATATTTCATATTTTGTACATTTTTCCTAAGCAAGCATATTGAGAAGCTGTAAGGCTCGCTTAGTTGATGTCAATAAATAAATATATAAATAATATGTATGTATTAACGAAAACTATATCTATGTATATGTATCAGTTGTCTAGTACCCATAACATAAGCTTTAGCTAGCTTAACTTGGGTCTAGATGGCGCTGTGTGAATTGTCCAGAATTATCACAGTTATATGTTAATTTGTAGATATGGTTGCTACTCACCCCGGGAGAACTTCAATGAGATTCTTATCCAAACTCAACTCTTTCAACTGCTTCAGAGGCCAGAACACGTCGGGCCTCAGCGACTGGATCTTATTATCATTCAGCAGCAGGGACTCCAGTTTGGATTGGTCCCTGAACAGTCCGGCGGGCAGGTCGCTGATGCTGTTCCCGCCGAGTTGGAGGCTCGTGATGGAGGAGGAGTTGTGGAAGGTGTCGGGGGACAGGTGGTAGATCCTGCACTTGGTGAGGCGGACGCTCACCAGCGCCGGAAGGTTGGCGAGTGCTCGGGGACTGAGCTTGAGGTCGGCGCGGTTGTCGAACGATATCAGCTGCAAGTAGATGAAGGAGTCCATTCAAATTCAAATTCAAAAATCAATTATTCATGTGGGACATTGTAGCCGCTTATGAACGACAGTTTTTTGTATTATATTTTTTCCATATCATTATTATTCATATTGAAATAACCGTTGTTTACTGCATGCATACGAATATAAATACGGTACATACACTAAAATAACATTTTTACAATTTTTATCTGTCTGTCTGTTTGTTCCGGCTAATCTCTGAAATGGCTGGACCGATTTTGACGGGACTTTTATTGGCAGGTAGCTAATGTAACAAGGAGTTAAGCTACTTTTATTTTAGAAAAATAAAGTTAATTTCCACGCGGACGATGTCGCGTGTAGAGCTAGTGTATACGTAACTATAACAACTTGAGTGCTAGTGGTGTATTACAGTGAGAGTGATAAGAGTGATACCTTCTCCAGCGACTGGAGTCCAGTGAAGGCGTCAGGCGCTATCTCCTGCAGGGGGTTGGCGAAGAACGTGAGCTGCTTCAGTCTGGGCGTGTGCATGAAGCCGCCGGTGGGCAGCGCTCGCAGGCGGTTGCGACTCAAGTCCAGACGTTCCAGTGACTCCAAACCTGACAAATATACATACATACACACACTTTATTATATAAACTTAACAAGTATTTCAAGGAATATTTATGTATCTACTAGTGAGCGCCCCGGCTCCGCACGGGTACAATGCTATATGTATATGTATATGCAATACGTACAATAACTTCGTCATTTTTGAAGCCAGAAACTTGAAACTTATTTTTGAGGCTGTCGATTAAATATAAATAAATATGACACTCAAAGTTTGTAAAATATTACCCTTAAAGGGATAAAAATAAAATAGGGGATGAAAGATTTTAGGTAAATTCGTCATTTTTGAAGCCAGATTTATGAAACTTTTTACATTGGCTTTTTTTTGGTTAGTTTATAAAAGACCCCACTAATATTATAACTTTGAAAGTAACTTTATCTGTCTGTCTGTATGTTTGTCAGTCTCACTTAAACGCCGAAACTACTGAACCGCTTTAAATGACATTTGGAACACATAATGTAGACCCTGAGAATGGATATAGAGTACTTTTTAATGTGGAAGGGTTGTGAGGGGATTGAAAGGTGCGAGGTTGTATGGATATATCGCCATTTTCAAAGCCTCTGAAACTGATTTTTAGGCTGCTGATTAAATATAAATAAAGAATAATGGGTTGTAAGGAATTTGAAAGAGAGATAAATGTTTATATGGAAATGTTGTCATTTTTAAAGCTACAAGCTTGAAGTTTAATTTTTAGCGTATTTATTAAATATATATTTAGAACAGAGTTATAAGTGGTTGAAAGAGTTATGTATGTTACTTACGTATGGAAGTGTCGTCTTTTTTAAGATGAAACGATGAACTTTTTTATATGGTTTTTATTGGGTTAGGTCATTAAATATTTTGTTCATTATTGGGTCAAGGTCACTATTATAAATATAAAACTATTCAGTATTTAGTTTACACAATACAGACAAACATTAAAACCTTTCTCCACATCCCCACGTGATGGTATAAATCAAACAAACGACTATTGTGATTAACCGGAAGTTGTTATCAAGTATATAAGTATCATAGTAACATACAAACATACACACTGACTCACAACCCGCAGCTCGCAGTCACCAACACAAACATAGTGCATGTGACACACACGCTCATATCAAAACAAACAAACATATATATATATATATATATATATATATACATTGACCATCTTTATTTACACATAAAATGTAGTCGTTTCCGCCGTCTGTTCAGTTCGATATTTTCGTTAAATACGCAACGGATTTTAATGCAGTTTTTAGCAATAGTATGTATATATATATATATATATATATATATATGTCAGAGATGTTAGGGAGCTCCGTAACCATAACCGAAACTATCGGATATCGGATATAAAAAAAAATATCCGTAGCCGAATCCCAAATAAAAGTTTCGGACACGTTATGTAACCATTTTATTAGCTGTTTATATTGTACTTTGGAAATTCCTTAAAAAACCAATATCCGTAACCGAAATTATACGAAACTAACGGATGATCCGAAATAATTTCATATCCTCATCTGTATCCGTATCCGGTATAATAATCATTCCTATATCCGAAACCTATCCGTATCCGAAATTTCATATCCATAACATCCCTGATACTATTATTATAAAGCTGAAGAGTTTGTTTGTGTTTGTGTTGGAGTAGTAGTCCATTTGTCGAGGAATCACCTTTGGAAGGTTTTAAGCTATATAACATTACGCTACGACCAACAGGAGCGGAGCTGCAATGACAAATATTGCAAAAGGTGGGGAAATGAAAGACGGACCAAGTTACACCCGTGAGAAGACGGGGCGGGTACGTAGTTACGTATATTTACAGATCTGTAGCAACAGGTCAAATTATTTTAGTGTTGGGGAATTCAATTTCTCGAGGTAGGTTGCACAAACATCATGCTACGACCCATGGGGGCAGAGCTGCAGAAATAATACTCTAAACTAAACTAAAGCACCACTTTTTTTATTGGATTGTTGGACTACTGTATGTATGTATGTAGGTCGCAGTGTCGCACACTGCGACCTACATACATCTATTGTGCTCGCCCTTTTTCAGAGTTCGCTACCTAGACCCGTCAGGGACAAGAATTGAAGGATATTCTTAGGAGCGATGGTTTTTATCACCTCAGGATAGAGTGTATACTTTCCAAAGGAGATATTTCGTTTATACATGAGTGGGCTACAACCACACAGGGTGTGTAGTGGCGTTTCCTCTTCAGTTTAACAAAATATTGATAGATTATTGCTCTCGTCCTTGTTCAAGATATAAATATTTTTATTAAAACCATCGCTCCTCGTAGTAGGTGGCCCGAGGACAGCGAGTGCAGCAGCACATACCTCGGAAGGCTTCCGGGTCGAAGCTCTCTATTCGGTTGTCCCAGAGGTGCAGCTGCGGCAGGTGTTCCAGTCCAGTGAAGGCGGCGGGCGGCAGGTGTAGTATGCGGTCGCTGGACAGCTCCACGTGCTGCAGGCGGCCCACGTCGCCGAACCCCGCCGCCGACAGCGTCAGCTCCGCGCCGCGCAGGCGGAAGTCGGTGAGCGACGGCAGCGAGCGGAGGACGTCGTACGGCACGGACGACTGCGCAGCTGGAACCGTACGGGTGTTAACTACGACTGGGTCTCTTAAAAACTCTACATGTTATAACTAACTAGTAAATACCAGCGACTTCTTCCGCGTGGAATTTAACAAAAAAGTTTGAGATTTTTCTAAAATAAAAGAAGCCTAAGTTACTCGTTATTACATCAGCTACTGCCCAAAAAAAGTCGCGTCAAAATGGGTCCAACCATTTCAGAGATTAGCCGGAACAAAGAGACAGACAAAAATTGTAAAAAATATTATAATAGATTGACATGTTGACTTGTTTCTTACATACCGGACCGGAATTTTTTATTGTTAATTACCTATATTATATTTTAAATATTATTGTAGTGTACAATAATTTGACGTAGACATTATTTAACTCCTACATTTATTTCAATTAAACTGCCCACGGATGACCACTCGGTCCCAACGTGTAAGTTTACTTTCGTTGCGGAGTGTCCCACCGGTGGGCATGCAGTCTTTAACGTGTTAAGAGTCTCTATATGTTTTGTAGTTAGTTTATTTCCAAATATTGGTAATTTTTCATATTTCTTGACATTTATTTCGCCCAACTTCCATCGTATCTTTTCAAATTATACCCTACTAGCTGCGCCCGCGGTTTTACTCGCGTTACATTTCCATAAAAAATATAACTGATATGTTATTCTGATGCATAGACTATATTACTGTAAAGTTTCATCAAAATAGTTTATTTATATAACAAACAAATAGTAAATACATTTAAATGAACTAAAGATACAACGATCTTAAAAAACAAGTTGTACGATGGCGGACTGGACTCATCACAAATGAGGGATTTCTTCCAGTCAACCGTTGAAGAGGTTTTACAAGCGCTCCAGTTTATCAAGTACACCTTTTTTTTTTTTTTTTAACGTGTGGAAAAATCTTCAAAAGACCGTCACCCCGCCGGAGGGATGGCGAGGTGGTGTGTGGGACTTGTACCCACTAAAAAACCACACGGTGTACCTACGAGCGCCTATGCCGGAGCCAGGGGATTCGCAGGTGCATTCGACCCCAGCTCCGACGGCGACGGCCCGCCCTGTAGATGTTGTAGGGCAGGCCCCATCTCGTTTTGTGGTTAGGGCGACCTATTTCGCCCTACTCCATTGTGGAGGCGTGTGGGTACACGCGCACACCTCCGGGGCCTTTGGATTGGGGGACTGCCTCCCTCAAGGCAGTCACCCCGGCCCCAGTGGGGGATAGAGGGGGACGGAGTTGGATACGCTCCCACCTCTAGGCCTGGCTCTTCTGCGGCGGAGGGAAGCGGGACGATCTGACTCCCGCTCCCTTTCCGCCGCCTCCTTCCGCGAGATAACTTCCTCGCAGAAGGAGCTCACCGCCAGCCACGATCTCTCGCTACTGACCATCCTCCGAACTAAATTCGGCAGCGAGAGATCGTCCCCCACTATTCGTGTGAGGACACGGCGCTCACTCTCAAACGCTGGACATATTTCCAGCGTGTGTTGCGCCGTGTCCTCTACACCTCCGCATTCGTGGCAGCCGGTCGTCGGCTCCTTCCTCGCCACATGACACAGATACCGCCCAAAGCAGCCGTGCCCGGACAGTATCTGTGTCATGCGGTACGTCAGTGGCCATCTCCTATTCATCCACCTTTTGAGGGTGGGACGGACAGCCTCGATGGTCCTCAGGCCGGCTGACGGGCTCATCAACCTCGCCCGCCATTCGGTCCTGAGGATCCGCCGAGAGTCGGACCTCCGCGCTTCAATCTCGTGACCAGCGGGTGCCTCCCCCATGGAACGTCGCTCCGCGCGCCAGTGATACACTGACGCGTGGAGCTCCGCTACCAAGTCCCACGGAGGAGACCCCGCCAGCAGACCCGCCGCTTCCCCGGATATGGTGCGGTAGCCTCTTATGGCCCGTATGGCCATGACCCTGTGTGGCCTGTTGAGGCAGGCCACATTTTCCCTACCTAGGGCCCCCACCCAGATGGGGGCCCCGTACAGGGCCATGGACCGCACCACGCCGAGGTATAGGCGGCGGGAACCTTCTCCCGGGCCCCTCACATTTGGCAGCAGCCAGCCAAGAGCGCCGGCGGCTGCCATAAGGCGAGGGACCAGGTTCCGGAAGTGAGCGCGGAAGCTCCAACGACTGTCCAGGTCAAGCCCCAAGTATCGAATACAGGGCTTGACCCCCACCCTCTGGCCACTGACGACCAGCTGGGCATCCGGAGGTGGCGCACGCCGAGGCCCATGAAAACACAGGACCTCGGTCTTCTCCAGCGCCACCTGGAGCCCAAGCCTTCTTATACGACCGACGACCAGCGCCACGCATGCCGTGGCAAAGCGGGTAGCCTCCAGTAGGTCCCGCCCCCGGGCAGTGACCAAGGTGTCATCCGCGTAACACACGAGGTCAGTGCCCGTTAAAAGGGCGCCCCGCAGGTTCCAATCATACCCGATGTTCCACAGGATCGGGCCCAGAACCGACCCCTGTGGAACACCGCGTTGCATTTCCCTCGCTACAACGCCGTTCCGCCCCGTGCATAGCACAGACCTGTCTTCGAGATAGGCCCCGATCACGTCCCGAATGTAGGGAGGCGCGCGATGGTACTTCAGCGCCTCCCTAATAGTCGCAAAGGGCAGGGTGTTGAAGGCGTTCTTAATGTCTAGAGAGACCGCCAACAACACCCCACCCCGGGACGTCGCCTCTTCCGAGAGGGAGCGCACACGCGAGATCGCGTCGATCGTCGAGCGCCCCTCTCGGAACCCGAACTGCTTCGGGCTGAGATCGGGACCTACCTGAGACAGGTGTTGGACGAGTCGGCCCGCCAAGATTCGCTCGAAGAGCTTGCCGATCTCGTCCAACAGTACTATGGGGCGGAACGCCGAGGGAACCACCGAACCTGCGGGGTGCTCCGCTTTGCGGAGCAGGACCACTCTACCCGCTTTCCACTGATTGGGAAACCGTCCCGACTCCAGACACGCATTGAACAAGCGCCGGAGTCGGTCCCCTAGGGTGTTTAGGGCCAAGGCCAGGACGCGGCCGTGGATACCATCCGGACCCGGGGCGACATTCTTGCCCCGGAGTTTATCCACGGCCGCGGCGAACTCCTCCTCGGTAATGGCAGGAACCGCAGCAGCGCGACGCCGCTGGCCTCTCCATCACTGCCACGCGGCATCATCGGAGGAGGTGTGAAGGGAGGCTGTCTCGGGAACAGCTCCTCCAACACCCCCTCCAGCTGCTGCGGCTGGAGACCCTCTGCCACGGGGGGCGCCCAGGGGCGTAATTTGCCCCTGACGAACCTATAAGGACGCCCCCATGGATCCCTGTCCAGGGTCTCCAGGAGTTCTTCCCTGGCTGTCTCCTTGGCCCTGCTGATGGACAGCTGCAGAGCTTTCTTCCTCTCTTTGTATTGCTCGTACAGCTGTGCTTCCTCGTCGGCATCGCGGCCCCGCCTGAGTCGGCGGTGCCTGGTGTACCGGCGGCGGGCGGCGGAGCACTCCTCCCTCAACGCCGCTATCTCCTCCGACCACCAGTACACCTGACGCCTAGGAGGTCGAGGGCCGGCTCGGGGCATCGCCGCGTCGCAGATGTGCGACAGAGCCTCGCCGAACCAGCCCACCTCTGCGTCGACCTCCACAGGCCCCTCCGGTATGGGAACCCAGGCCTGGACGATGGAAGCCTCCATCAGCACGTCTTTATTCAGACGTTTCAACACCCATCTGGGGAGTTGTGGGACATTCCTCTCCTGGCGACCGGGGTGCGGAGCTACGGGTGAGGGGAGAACATCTATCCGGATATACCGATGATCGGATAGAGTCTCCACCTCATCCAACACCTGCCAGCTCCGCACCCTCTGTGCGATCGCTGGACTGCAGAGGGATACGTCGACATGCGACTCCCCTGCTGTCTCACGCACGTGGCGGCCGACCCTCGGTTCAACACCACCAGGCCGGCCGCGGCCGCCCAGTCTTCCAGGACCCTGCCTCGAGAGTCGGTGATGGGGGAGCCCCATGCCGTGGATTTGGCATTGAAGTCCCCCATCACCATCATTGGACGGGCCGAGTATAGCTCAAGAGCGGCCCCCAGCCCGTCCATGAACTGCTCGAACTCGGCGAGAGTCCTGTTCGGAGAGAAGTATGTCCCGACAACGACGGTTTCCCCCCAACTCACACCTATGTACCCCGCTCCGCCGAATAGGCGGCTGACGAGCGGGGTTGCGGGATTGCCCGCACCGACAATGGCCACCAGGCCAGAGGGGTCGCCGAACCAATGGTCACTACGTGGGACACGATATGGTTCGGCGACCACTGCAAGGTCAACTCCCCACTGCACCGCGCTCTGCAGAAGCAGATCTTGGGCGCGCGCGCAGTGGTTGAGATTTCCCTGCAGGAGGCGATGGACTGCCATTATTGACCGGTGTCCATCACCTCAGCCTCTCCCCGGCGGCCATTGCCGCGGGCCGACGACAGTGCGGATCCCCTCGCTCTCTTGGACCGGGACTGGGGGCACATTTTGGCCCCCACCCGGTGGTCTGCTGGGCGACCCGCCGCTGCGCAAACTACGCAGTGTGGGGCCGCCGAACATCCGGCCGCTTTGTGGCCGGGAACCCCACACCGGTAGCACAAGCCACTCCGGTCCTCCTCGTGCGAGCACCTGGCCAGCACGTGCCCGCTTTCGAGGCACCGGAAGCACCGGAGTGGCTTCTGCCGCAGCAGTTCCACAGCGGCTGAGACCCAGCCGATCCGGATCCGCCCTGCCGTCGTCACTTTCTTGACCGCGGCCAATGGGGCCCGCACCCAGCAGGTGCCCAGGCCCGACGCGCCGCGCCGAATCTCCCCGACATTGACGGCGTCCGCCGTGCACTCGCCGTGCTGTGCCACGGCGGCCGCCACCTCTTCCCGGTCGGTACCGTCATCCAGGCCCATGACCCTCATCTCTGCGGTCTTGGTGGGCCTGGCGATGCGGACCGTACCTTCCGGGAAGACGTCCCGGAATCAAGTACTACACCTTAACTTAACTTAACTTAACTTAACGCTCTACTGAAGGATCGTTTGTCGTCGGATAGTTTGTTCCGTTCAGTAGGTTTCGCGTGAAAGAGACGTACAGACAACACACATCCATCCACCCATCCATGCACACACACAAACTCCCGCGTTTATAATATTATGTATTAATATAAGATATCACAGCGAGGTGGACCGGCGATCCGGTCAAGGCGTCGGAGGCGAGCAGCGCAGGGCCGATCGTCGTGGAGATCTTTACTCGGGCTTAAATGATGTTGATAGTTACCCGCGTCGACTAGCCTGAGAGTGCGCAGCCCGTCCAGCCCGGCCACGTGGTGGGCCCGCAGCGCGTTGGTGGCGGCCCGCACCATGAGCCCGGCCGCGTCCGAGGCCCCGAGCGCGGCCAGCACGCACCGCATCGGCTCCGCCAGCTCGCACTGCGACACGCTGAAGCTGCTGAGGGAGCCATTCCTCGCCACTGATATGAAGGGCAGCTCCGAGCACCGCAGCACGCCGCCCTCAAATAACACAATACATCATCCTTACTGACGCAACAACCACTTGTTAACATGGCCACGGGGACTTTGAAGCCTCAGTACCGCAAGAGAAACCCCAAGTAGCGCCCGTGACTTGTGACACGGGTGTAGGTTTAAAAGGCCCATTTAGAATGCATTAACACTCACCTTCGAAGGGGTTATTAGTAACGTGGGCTAGTCAGGTTCACCTGCCCGCGGTTCCCACTAGAAACCATCGTGGTAAATTGCCATTTGCCAAGATGTAAAATGTGCTAGAGCAGCACCGAGGCCTCGATATGGTTTTTCTATACTACAGAGTAATGGTAAACAAGCATACGGCCCATCTGATGGTAAACTGTGGGGCGGTAGTAATCTTTATATGTATATAAAAATGACGTGTCACGTTGTTCGTCCGTGATGAACTCCTAAACTACTGAAACGATTGCAAATTTGATTCGCACATTATGTGCAGTTTTATTCCACTTGAAAGATAGGATAGCGTGCATCTCAATTTATAGTCGCAATATTATTTTATTCTAGATCTAGATATATTTTGTGGCTAAAGACAGCAATGAGTGGCCGGATCTGATAGATAATACCTAATATAAATAAAATGTATTAATAAGGAAGGTTACATATAGAAAAAATATATAGCTGTATATGGCGCGTGTTGGATGACCTGAAAATATTTTAAAGGTGAACTATGGAACGCGTCTGTGTTGTGTGTAAGAGGTCAGTTGTAATGATAAGAGGTATAATGTGAAATTAATGTTTCGGGTTATTAGACTGGGTCTTTGCTTTGCTTATTTTGCATGACATGGACGGTGGGGGTGTAGATTCGTTCTGATGACGTCATCGGCAGTTATTTACTTTTTTACACGAATGGCGACCCTCACATTGTCTTTGCTAAAAACAATACATTAATTGAAAAATGTTTAAGTAATCGTGGGGGGAGGGGGTAAGTGCTTTGCTTACTTTTGCTGACAAGGGGGATGAGGGTGAATAATTGTAATAAATCTGCTTACATAATACTTAAAAGATCCCTTAACAAACATATATAATAGACCATAAAATGGTTACCGTAGCCTATGGACGCCTGAGACGTCTAAGAAGCCTGCTGCTAGTGGTGGTGTGTGGTACTCACTGTGCAGGTGAGGTCTGCGTGGCTGTTGACCACCGCGGTGATGGTCACATTCCCGGACGGCAGCTCGCACGCGTACTCCCGCTGGTCACCAGCATACCCGCACGTGCACACAGACGGACAGTCGAACGCCGCCGTCACAGTGACCACCGCGACCACCGTGACCAGCGCCACCAGCAGCGCGGCGGACGACGGCCACCGCATCGGTGGGGCGCTGCAATGTAATAACCATTACATTTATGGACACATCGTTAACAAACTCATGACGATACTTTACGACCGTGGTGGGCTCAACTAGCTGATCATATATTGGGCAATAGATACACATTTCATTTCATTTTAACCCCCAACCCAACCCCTTCTTTATTCTTAATACTTAATGACGACCTCGGTGGTCTAGCGGTCTGGCACACCGCTTTACGACCGATGGTCGCGGGTTCGATTCCCCGCACGGAACAAACATTTGTATTCATGAGTATAATTGTTTGTATCGGTCTAGGTGTTTTCTATGTATAATATGTATGTATTTACAAAAAAAAATCTATGTATTTGTATCCGTAATCTAGTACCCATAACACAAGCTTTAGTAAACTTAACTTGGGTCTAGATGGCGCTGTGTGAATTGTCCTGAGATTATTATTATTGTTAATACTAGCTGTAGCCGCGACTTCGTCCTACCCGTGTGTTCAAAACCTACCCTGTACCATCGTAAGCACAGACTATTATATTAGAGTCCATTAGTTTCTGTCCCCCCTCCCCCCCCCCCCTCTACCTACGACTGCGCATTATTTCCAAAATAAAATAAATTTAAACTGAGTGAAACCTACTGGGAAACTGGAAACCAAGCGAATATATATTCGGGACCCTGGTCTGTGTTACAGCCCTAGATTTTTTAAAATATTTAATAAAAATAGCCTACGTTACTCCTTATTACATCAGCTACCTACCAATATAAGTCCCGTCAAAATCGTCCAACCATTTCAGAGATTAGCCGGAACAAACAGACCGACAGACAAAAATTGAAAACATATTATTTTAGTGTACGTACCGTATTATATTCATACGCATGTAGTAAAAAAACTGTTATTTCAATATTACAAACAGACACTCCAATTTTATTTATATGTAGGTATGATACAATTGTATCTAATTATTAATATAAAATGTAAATTAAATTTTAAAAATTATTTTCAGTGTACCAAATAAACAATTTTCTTTCTTTCTTTATACATACACTTTAATCGAAGTGGTGCCACAACAACAACAACGCATATCTTAAATTCATATTCAAATTCTATCTAAACGGTGAATTGTAAACGGTAGACAGTGAACGTAACGGTGCTGTCACCCTCCACTGAACCTCCTCCAGTGGCACGCCCTCGCCTGCCTCGCCTGCCTCGCCAGTAAACTGCTACGAATAAACTTATCAAGAACGACTACAGTAGTTTTAATGTTACAGACCACCATCTGTTGCTGGCATACGATTTTTTTATATATGATAATGTAACGCTGCACCCGCCTGCGCTGACGGTACACGCTGGCGGGGCACCAGTGGAGGATGATAAGAACACGAGGTCAGGTCAGTTAGCACATCCTGACAAATACACCAGGAATTTATCACGATGGCTTCCAGAGATCGCGTGGAGGTCAGCAATAGGGTCAACAGACCACATTACTACCAACCCCCTTTCTCTCGCTGGCAGTGTATTAGATCGACCTCCACGCGGTCATGCTTCGAAACCATCCTGGCTAATTACATAATGGTGTTTTTCAAAGTCCGTTTAGTAGTTGTTGCGTGAAAGAGAAACAAACATCCGTCCATAGTCACGAACATTCGCGTTTATAATATTACTAAGATATAAATTTGCGACACTTGAATCATAGTGTAGATATTTACTATAGATTGCTACCTTGTACTATTATGTTATCTGTGATTACTACTGACACATTGTGTTCCCGCTGAGTCAACACACCCCACGTCCACAATCACTCGCCACATGTGTATTATCCATATTTAAAAATAATTACACTATTTACAATAACATTACAGTCATATTACCATAATGTTATAATTTATAATCTGTTCAGTTTAGTACAGTCCATATAGCTCTTTATAATATCGTTCCGTTGCCTATAAAATTCATATTAAAAAAGTAAAAAGTTTGGCGCCAAAATGTTGACACGTAATAAAAAGATTACTAATTAAAAAGAAATTGAAAGCAAAATATATATAAATTATTTAAATGCATAATTGCTGAGATGATTGGATCGAGAAAAAGACTGTATTTTTTTAAATTAATCTTATATTTTATTTTAAATACATATTTTAGCAGTGCAACGCGAGTGTCATGAAAAATTAGAGAGAGAATACAGTATGGCGTGCGCTGAGTTATTTAATGCGATAATAGATGGCGCTACGCGTTCACTCTACACAAATTAAAATGAATAAATTTAACCTAATTACAACAATAATAGTAGTGTGTTATTGTATATAATTATGTTGAGCATGGATTAAATGATATAGCTATTTTTATAGTGATTTTTTATTATTATATTTGGGCATAAAGTGCATTTACCAAAGACATGTTTGATAAACAGGACGCCAGAGGTGTGTAAGAACAGAATTTTATTAGATTAGATGTATTAGAATGGATCTGATTTATATGTACCTATTTCATTGTTTTAAAACCGGATACATACCACGATATGTTGAACATCATGTTCAAACTATGAACAAAATAAACAAACGCATTATTAAGATGATTCAAAGGTAATATTTAAATCAAATTTATAGCGGATTACATAAATAGCAACATTGAAATATAAAAAGAATCATTAAAATGGATTCACTTAAAAATAACTCCTCAGGTAACACACGTTAAAAATATAGTTCTTTTGTAGTTGTTTGTTATGGTCAGAAGAAGGTTTTTATAAACGAAATAAAATATAATAATATAACTCTAGAAACGCTAATGTGAATTCAATATTTATAGTTGTAAGGACGTCTGCTATTCCTTACGTTATATTGAAATTTTTATATTACTATTTGTTTTGAAGTCGATTTAAGTGTTGTGATATATAATATATATATAATACAACAACACACACACACACACAGTCGTCATCATCATCACCCATGTACGTATTGTGTTATGTTTAAACAAATGTCTTTGATATAAAGATGGCATGTTCTTGTCACTACAATATCTACATATACATACACACCCAACTGATGCTGGTGTGACTCACTACCTCCCCCCCTCCCTAGACCACTTTGTACAAAGCATACTCAGAGAAATCTAGTCAGAGAAATTATATATATATGTATATACCTAATACTTACATATAATTCATGTGTAACGGGTTGACTGATTCTTATGAAGTTGTTGTGTATGCAGTAGATCTCACAATAGGAAGTAAACTATTTTTCAGACCCCTAAGAGATAAGGGTGGTGCACCACCTTTTTTTATTTTAATTTTTTTTATGATTCGGTATTAAGAAAGAAAGAAAGAAGAAAGAAAAATATTTTATTTAAGAAGTAGATATAAATAGGTACAACATTTATTTAATAGCGATATCATAACCCAGTAGGTATAAAACAAAGTCGCTATCGCTGTCAGTCCCTATGTATGCTTACATCTTTAAAACTTCGCAACGAATTTTGAAGCGTTTTTTTTTTAATAGACAGAGTGATTCAAGAGGAATTCTTATATATATAATACATGTAAACCCGTGCGACGCCGGGGCGAGTACCTAGTTAATTTATATGACAAAACAACGTTTGATCGGTCAGCCAGCATATATACATATACTATATAGGTGTATATATACAAATAACGTACAGACAACTAAACAGACATACAGAAATACTCGTATTTGAAGTGGCTTGTAAATTAAATTAATACATCTACATTTGGATTTGTATTCAGTCAATACATCTGTATGTATGTCTATGTACAATGTTCTCCGAAACGCAATGACGTACCTATGTACCCACACGTACAGTAATTAGAGGTATTAGAGCGACCGCGGCGGTCGTAGAGTCGAAGTCAACTCATTTACTACCTGACATACGCCGCAGAGATCTGAAGTTATGTAAACACGTACATAATATACAATCTATACATATCAATCAAATTGTAGTGTCTGTTTGTAACATGAAAATAACCGTTTTTTACTACATACAATATAAATACGATACATAGGTACACCAAAATAAGTTTTTACAATTTTTGTCTGTCAGTCTGTTTGTTCCGGCTAATCTCTGTAATGGCTGGACCGATTTTGACGGGACTTTTTTTGGCAGGTAGCTGATATAATAAGGACTAACTTAGGCTACTTTTATTTCAGAAAAATAAAATTAAATTCCACGCGGACCAAGTAGCGGGAACAGCTGGTCATCCATAAAAAAAACCCGCGAACATCGTTAGACCGCTACACCACCGGCCGTTGTGTTGTGTTGTGCACTATTAACTACAGATTACCTATTTCTACACTGTGGTGTAGTGCATGTGGAAACACTAGCAGTTTATTAGCATTGCACTGAATAAAATATTTTTCTTTCTTTCTTTCTATTACCTATCCTCAGAGAGATCCCCCGCGCGAGCGCCGCGGAGTAAAGACGTGGAGCTGTGGCTAACGAGCGGATATTATGTCGATAGCAACTCACATACCAGCAGACACGAGGACACACCAACAACAAATAAGTGAACACTATACTGTACTGCGGCGTCGTCTGCAACGAATATAGTGTCGGTAACGCCAGGCTTGTGGGGGAAGAGATTGTCAGGAATGTGGACTCATGACCCCCTTACTACCAATGTACCATGTCAGGATGACCTCCACGCGATCTCTGGAAACCATCGTGATAAATTCCTGGTGTATTTGTCAGGATGTGCTAACTGACATGACCTCATGTTCATCTTATCATCCTCAACTGGTGCCCCGCCAGCGTATACTGTCAGCGCAGGCGGGGCCGCGGGAGCACCGTTACATTATCAACAATGAAAATAAATACGCCCCCACCCCCACCCTCACCCTCACCCGTCGCAGGCGCAGGCAGATTCTATTATTATCCATCCCATCCATACATATAAATAAAATTCAAGTGTCTGTTTGTAACATTGAGTTTTTTACTACATATATGAATGTAAATAATGTAGGTACATACCCCAAAATATCATTTTTTAGAATTTTTGTCTGTCTGTCTG